AATTTACTCTTAGTTTTGCTCTTGCTCCTATATTGCTAGCTATATACTCACAAAGTTTTCTCCTTAGATATCGATCTAAAAATTATTTTTATTTAGAGATATTGATATTTATCTAGTAAATTTTAAAATTTTAGTTACTATGAATAATCGTAAACGTAAAAATACTTCTCCTTGCCCAATTCCTCAAAAATTTTCCCGCAATTATTTTATTGAAAATTTGCTCTTCGGAGCTCAGCAACAACAACAAGGGAGCGGTAGCAAAACAACTTCCGACTACGTTGAATTGCTTGACAACGAGATCAATCACATTACCAAATTCAATGTGGTCAAGAGCAAGTCCAAGTTCCTAATCAAGGACGTCCCGGTTGATCCGGAGGACCTGCTCTCATCAATATTCCAACATTGTATTGATGAAGCTCTAAATGAGAGCCGGAGCAAAGGGCTTGAGCCCGAAAAGTTAGGATGCACTGTCACAAGTGAGCTGCTGGAATCGGACATTTGGGTGCCGATAAGGTGGGTTTTAAAGAATATTATCTTTAATTTATCAATTTTTAAAATTTCTCTTAAAAATTTCTCCTAAAAATTAAAGTGCTCTTTATTTATTTTTTATGAAAATATTTATGTAAAAATTTTTAATTTGCTCCTAATTTATCTAAAATTTTGATTTTTCAGGGAGTTGACATCAAACACCGTCGACTCGATCTTGAATTTGTTCCTGAAGGTCTCGCAGAGCAAGAAGCAATCGGGCGTTACATTATGGGGGAAGCCGTTTACAATAACAACAACGGTCTTAGACAAAACAAGAGCAGTGGAGGTGCGTCGTCTGAAAGGAGGAGCTAATGGTAAAACTGCTCCTGTTCAGCATCAAATTAAAGACCATAGCTTGATCAAGGTTTATTTCAAAGAGCTTCGATTTTAAACTAATTTTATGAATATTTAGATTAAAAATGTCGACACATTCTGCTTGTTCTACTCTCTCTTAGCTACTTTATTTTACAACATCAAAAAATTCGACAAACGACAATTCTATGACTACCTTCACGGTCGTTATGGATGGGCAGGAAAATTTGAAAAGGATGTTAAGGAGCTGATGCGCAAAGTAAAAGCTCCTAGAAATATGAAGAGCTATGATGCTAAAGAATGGGTACCACCAATTATTGATTTATGGAACAACGAATACCAAGGTCAATTCACGTTCAAGGCTTTTGTTTTCGGATCAATGGGGCGCTATGAACCATTGTTTAAATACGGCCCATCCGACTACGATACACCATTGCTCCTTTATTATTTCAACAACGAGCACTTTCACGGAGTCAAGGATCCGGGAGGACTTTTTGGGCGTCCTTACTGTTTGAGCTGTGAAAAGGTGTATGATCGTGCTTCAAGACATGTGAAGACCTGCAAAGCAAGATGAATAAAATGCTCCCAAGTCGGCCCAAAATTTCCCTGCCAACCTGGAAATTTTTTTAAACACTGCAGAGGTTGCTCCAAAAATTTTAGCAACAACAACTGCTTCGAACAACATCTTCGTTTAAATTTCTGCAGCCTCTCCAAACAGTGTTTAACCTGCGGAGTTATATGGGATGTAGCAATAAACACCAGAAACGGTCGTAAAGGACATATTTGCAACGAACGCTATTGTACAACATGTCTCTGCTTTCACGATACAAAGAGAGGATGCTTCATTCGTCCTCTTGAGCCAAAGGAGCCAGCTCCTTATCGTATAGTAGCCTTCGATCTCGAAACTATGCAACACATCCCAGAGCAACATGACAACAATAAGAGAAAACACATGCCGAACTTCATTGCAGCTAAAATTTCCTGCCCAAAATGTATTGATAATATCAGCTCTGACTGTAATATTTGCAGCGAGGAACGTTTGATCACTTTCTCTGAGAGAGCATTCGCTAAAACAACAGTTGATCGTCAAGTAATTACATCAAATCCTCTCGAAGAGTTCGTGAGCTGGATTGTAGGATTAACAAAAAAGACAACAACATATGCCTTCTCTCATTTCGGAGGGAGATTTGATATGGTGATTGTCTTTCGAATGCTCTTCCTCCGAGGATTTACTCCAAGTATGATTAACAACGGCAACAAACTTTATGAGCTAAAGCTGCAAATTGGAAAGAAGAGCTTCCTAATTTTCAGAGACAGCTTCAATCTCATGCCAATGAGTCTCGCATCTCTAGTACCAGCATTCGGATTAGACGTGGAAGATAAGCCTTATTTTCCACACCGTTCTAATCGGCCTGACAACTATGGAAAAGAAATATTTCCTGAACCATCAGACTACTTTGCGGACGGAATGATGCCTGAAAAAAGGAAAAGTTTCAATAAATGGTACCAACAAAACAACAAAAAACCATTTTTGCTCGATGAGGAGCTCGCATCATATTGCACCAACGATGTAGAAATTTTGATGGCAGCTCTCATTTCTTTTAGGAAGGAATTTCTTGAGGTAATCTTTGAATATTTTAAGGAGCAATAATAATTTTCTGAAATTTTAGGTGACAAAAAGAGGAGCTGGGCAGAGAGCAGCATCAACAAAAGCTCACGATGGCATAGACGTGCTCCGTGAGGCTATGACCATCGCCTCCGCCTGTATGCGCCACTTCAGAACAAATCATCTGAAGGAGCGTCATCTCGGTTAATTTTTTAATTTTTAAAATTGTACTAATATAAAAAATTTTAGGACTTGTTCCAGAGCGGGGCTATGACAACGCAGATAATCAGAGCAAGCTTGCTCTTAAGTTCCTTGAATGGTATTCAAAGGAGAACAACGTCAACATTCAAACCGCTTATTCGGAGGAAGGAGAGAAAATGATCGGCAAATATCGTCTGGACGGATGGGTCAAGGAACAACAACTTGGAATTGAAGTAAATGGATGTGTGTGGCACGGCTGCTCCCGATGCTACCCTCAAGACAACATGCTCCTCCCGAATGGTAAAACAGCAGGAAAGCAAAGGGAGCACGACAAATATCGTCTAGACTACATCAAACAACAAAATATTAATATTAAAGTCTATTGGGAGTGCGAAATTAAGGATATGTTGTCCAAGAATAGAGAAATGAAAAGGAGCTTCAACAACTATATGGATGGAGGTCCGATCGATATTCGATCATGTTTCTTCGGAGGAAGAACTGGACCGCTTAAGCTCTTCCATGCTTCTTCCAAAGGGGAAAAGATCAGTTACTACGACGTAACTTCTCTTTACCCCTATATTAATGTAACAACGAAATACCCCATTGGTCATCCAAAAGTTCATATTTTGAACAAAGATGTGCTCTGGACAACATCCACGGATAATAAATTTGAGCTGTCTATTTTGAAAGTAATTAATATTTTAAATTTTAAATTAAAATTATTATTTGAGGTTTTTGTTATCCCTCCAAAGAAAATCGATGTGGCTGTTCTTCCTATGAAACTTGATGGAGATGAACGTCTCCTCTTCACACTATGTGCAGCATGCGCCAGGAAATACCCAACTGGAGATGTGCTCTCAAATTACAACTGCTCCCACACCGATTTCCAAAGAGGCTGGGTTTCTACCTGTACATCAATTGAGCTCAACGTTGCTCTTGATGAGGTCTAATTTATATTGCTCTTTATTTTAATAATTAATATTTTCAGGGATACATAGTTACGAAACTCTTCCGAGTTTTGGAGTACACCAACTCAGACGACAAGCTCTTCGCTCCATACATCAGCGAATTTATGGCGCAGAAGATCCACAGCTCTGGTTTTGATAGCAGCATTAAAGGAAATGAGGAGAAAGAGACGAAATTCATCAATGAGTGCAAGGAGCTTTTTGGAATCAACATCGACAGGAGCAAAATGGCTGTGAACAAAGGCAAGAGGACTCAATCAAAATTAATGCTCAATAATCTTTGTAAGTTCTTTTAATTTACTTTTTAATATTTTTTAATTTCAGGGGGACGTTTCTCTTTGAGGAATTTTGGACTGTCTCAAAGTTTTGTCACCGATGACCCTGCAGAATTTTGTGAATACAAAGACGATCCATCGATTGATCTATCCGCCGTTGATGAGCTTCAACCCGGGGTTCTCCTACTTCGCTATGTTAAAAAGAGAGATTGGATTGAGGAGCACGATTGCTCCAACGTCGGTAAGAGCTTTTTATTATATTTGAAATTTGAAAATATTAATTTTTAAATTTAGTTGTATCTCTTTGGACCACTTCAGCCGCACGTATTCATTTGCTACGAGCAATGCAAAAAGTTGTGCGGACCAGTGGTTGCTCTCTGCTCTATACAGGTAATTATTAAAATTTGCTCCTAATAAAATTCTAAATTTTTAGATACAGATTCTCTGATATTCTCTCACCCGGAAGACGTCTGTCCTCTTCAACTCGGACCTCACCTGGGAGAGTTTACTGATGAGTACCCGGCTCATGACATCATAGAGTTTTGCTGTGGAGGATCAAAACAATATGGATTGAAACTTCAGAGAAAGGAGCAGCCTGAAGCAGAGCCGGAGTATGTGTTAAAAGTTAGGGGTATGACACTAAACTGGGATGTCATAGAGAATCAAGGACTCCGTTACCAAACTTTTAAAGAAAAAGTGCTAAAATTTGGAAAAACTGGTGATTATGATCCTATAATTATAGAATATCCTAATACTATCAGGCCCTCTATTAAGTTAGGTACTGTTTTCTCTCAACCTTCATATAAATCCTATAAACCCGTTGTCTCTAAAGGAATTGTTAACTCTTCTAATTATCATGTTTTAAACTTTGGACATATCAATAATCCTATCCGTCCTCGTATTTCTCCACCATTGTAATTTTAAACTTTATCTATTTATTTTTACTTTTATTTTATTTTTAATTTTATTCTAATAAATTAAATTTTACAATTTTGTTAAAAATTGGGAGCAAAATTAAGAGAGCAAAGTGTTCAATTTTAGGGGTAAAAAAGCATAATTAATTAAAAGAAAAATCAATAGTAAAATTAAGAGTAGGAAGTTGTCGTTTTTAGGGGTAAAAGTGCAATATTAATAAATAGAAGTTACAATTTAAAGAAAAAGCAGAATTTAAGAAAAGAAGTGTTTACTTTTAGGGGTAAAAAAGCATAATTAAGAATTATAAGATGAAAATTTAACAAAAAATTGAAATTTTGGATAAAAAATATTTTTGGTATATTTATTAGAAGGGTGTGCGTGTAACGATGTGTGTGTATTTTACCACCCTAGACTAAGTTCGCACAACGAAAGTTCCTCTTCATCATTTTCTTCAGAATCCGAGCCACAACGAAATATCAAAGGTTTGAGAGTCGACGGAGTTGATCTTTCACTTTGCTCCTCCTCAACAAGTTCAAGAAGTTCAAGAGGGTAGTAGCGATTCTCCATGTGGCGTGGAAATCTTTCGATAATACAATGAAGGAATGGGTGTTGGAGTCGGATTCGGTGACGTGCATAAAAATGAGCAGCCACAGAAATATTGAAAGGACGAGGGAGGCGCCCATAAGCTTGAGTGACATTTGCTCCATATTTCGAGAGACCTCCAATTTTGAACATTTTTATATGTCCATTTCTGTCCTCATATGTGGTGCGTACTTTGCGCCCCAAAAGCTCTTTCAAAATTAAAATTCTATTTTTTGGGTGAAAGAGCTGCTCCCTCAGGGATTTGAGAGGACAATTTAAAATGCGTGCGCACTCTTCAGAGAGGAGGACCATTTTGTTTTGAATAATTACCAAATGAATAAATTTGAATTTTTTTGGCGTCTTAAATACCCGGTTTTCAAGGTCATTGACTGGTATATAAGTGAGGATCTGTGTAATTAGCTCCTCATTATTTTTATTTTGACAAAATTTTTATTCTGAGCTAAAATGAATAATAATAATATTAATGAAATTGCTCCTTTCGATCCTACAATTCCTCCTCCCGAAATTCCAGCAAAAATTATAAAAAGAGAAGGTACTCCGATTAAAATTATTGAGAAATCTCCAGAATTTAAAAAACCTGTAAAGCAGGCTTCTGAGTTATTTAAAAAGCCTGCTCTTCCTAAACCTGCTCTTTGGAAACTCTTTCGCGGAAAGTTTCTCCTCACCTTCTACTTGTGTACATCTTGTCGAGATCAGCTCTTCAAAAGTCAAGACAAGGTGAAAATGAATAATGATCGAGTTGAGATGAAGATTGAACTATGTACAAGTTGTGTGAAAAAGAATTGTATGGTAACAGATTTAATCGCACCTTATAACAAAAAATAAACTTTTTTTTTATCAATCATTCTTTTTAATTGTATTTTTTAAATATTTACTCAACTTTAATTGTAATAATTTAATTTAAATAAAATTTAATAAAAATCTTTGAAGAATTTTATTTTATGGTTCTCAATTTTCCCATATTTTACTCATTAGAATTTTATTTTTAAATTTATATAGTCCCTAACACTACTCAATGACTTTTCCACATTATTTCAAATAAAGAGATTTTCCCCTAATTTACTCTCACTCATTTATCTTACTTTCATCCCATCCCTCTCTGCTCGCTCATTTTCTTTTTTGTCTACATACTCTCTCTCTTTCTCCTACTCTTTCGTTTGAAAAATAATGGCGGCCACTCTTGAGCAATCCATCAGATAAATATTGAGTATGCGCTTGGTTCGGCACAATTTAAAATGAAAAATAACGCAAAAACATTATGCCAATAATTTTTTAATAAAAGACATTTTATTCATACCAAATATTTGAGAGTAATATAAGAGAGAACAAGAGAAAAAAGTGTAAGAAGAGAAATTAAAGAAATTTCAAAGCGAAAATTAAAATAAAAGAAAGATCAATACATACAATCAAATTTTAGTACATGTCTCGGTAGCTCATTCGGAAGAGTCTGGGCTAGATTAAAGGTTTTTATTACAAGGTTGAAGGTACGAAACACTTCCGGGACTATTTTTTATTTAATTGTATTCAGACACAAGTGTCATCTTAGACCACTGTTCCTGAAGCATGCCAGAGAAATGAATTCAGGATTTCTATAAAATAAAGAAGAGGATTAGAGTCACATTGCGATTCTGCGTCTCTAACCTTCTCTTCCTAAAATAAATGAAAAAGTACTGCACCTTTCGCGCACTGCCATCGTCAGATTAAAAAGGAATCCTTTCCTCGCTGTTATTTAATTAGCCATTAAAACAAATAAAATTAAAACAAAACAAATTTAAAAAGTTTATACAAATAAAAATCCATTAGTCAATGTCTCGTTTCACTTATTAAATTTAAAGCTCTAAAGAGAGCTGTATGGGTTAAATCATAGTTGTTGACCATTTTGTCCATTGTCCAAGTATCACTGTCCATTGTCCAAGTACCAATCACACCCACGACTTCAATTTGTCGGTAAGATAAAAGAAAACCAATTAGTACTAATTGGTCAATTACCGCCAACTCTCGTCATTTAGTCGGTTATCCCCCTTAACCTCAAAAGTAATTAATTATTTACTAATTGATTTACCCCTTACCCCTCGACTACGATTTGATGGTTAGATGCAGTGAAAACCAATTAGTAGGTACTAATTGGTCAATTAACCCCTACCCCACGACTTCGATGTATCGGCAAGTTCAAAGGGATTTGTTCAATAGGTGTTAATTGGTCAATTAGTCAGCCTAATTATCAAAGGAAATCCCCGAAAACCCCCTACACCCATAGGATAATGTCGGCAAAATCAAAGAAAATTAGGCGGAAACCCCCTACACCCTTTGGTTTCAGCGGACCCCTCCCCCCGACCCCGACTTCTCCTGGACACTCACTACTGAAATTAAATCCTTTGCATTTGCAGCTTTTTTCTTAGGACGAAGTTTTGTTGGTCGAAGTATTGTCTGGACAGAGTTTTGGTAATACGAAGTTTTGTCTGACGAAGTTTTGGTAATTCGAAGTTCTACCCCTCACCCCCGAAAAGTCTGCAAGAAAATTTATTTGTCAAAGCAATGCAATGACAGCCAAAAAAATAATTCGTCTCAAGATCGGAACTTCAAACATTAAAAGGGATTAACTAAAATAGAATTTAAAATAAAATAAATTATAAGTAGAAGATTTATTAAGCCTTTACTCTTCAAAGATCAGTAGATGCCAGGGGTGGCTCTCGTCTCGTATCTCGTGTTTTTTAGAGGTCTCGTATCTCGTATCTCGTATTTTGCCACGAGACACGAGATATTTTAAATCTATTTTAGGAAAAATGTCAAAATTTCGGGACTATTTTAAGATCATAGAATTAGGAAAAAAGGAAGAGTCAATGAGAGTCAAATCCTGTCAAATTATCTAAATTAGGCTCAATGTTTTGTTAATAGTTGCGAGGGTATAACGACTTTTGCGCCGAGAACATTTGCGCCGCGACTTATGCGCCGCGACTTTTGCGCCGCGACCCTTGCGCCGCGACATTTGCGCCGGGCGACTTATGCGCCGCGACATTTGCGCCGCCATTTTTTAAAAAATCCGGATCCGAAAAAGGCCGGATATCCGAAATTTTCAGTTTGGATATCGGATCCGGATATCCGAAGATTTTCAACTATCCGACAACACTACTAAAGTGAGGTTCTGCTGTAGTTATCTATATATTTTTAATGATAGTGGCGGCGCAAAAGTCGCCCGGCGCAAGTGTCGCGGCGCAAATGTTCTCGGCGCAAAAGTCACGGAACCGTTGCGAGAGACTATGTTTTTGTAGACATGGGTGACCCAGTAAAATGCAAAATCTGAGTATAATATCATTGTCAGTGAAAACTGACATCCAAAAAATTACAGTGCGTCTCTCCAACTGAAAGCGGACAAATCATAGATTCCATGGCTTCTTTTAAACAATCTCTAATTTTTAATTTAATAAGAAGCTTTTGACTAAATTTTAATTATCATATTTATTTTTAGATGAATAAATTAAGGCATTTGCATAGCTTTCGATATTAGATACATCCATCCTATGATATGTTAGGAAGGTAAAATCTGTCAGCCTAAAATAAAAGACATCCAAAAAATTTAAGCAACAAAATAAACTCGATTGTACGACACTTGCGGACCGACTTTTGCGGACCGACCTTTGCGGACGGACATTTGCGGATTGCGGATAGACATTTGCGGACGACATTTACGGATTGCGGACCGACTTTTGCGGAACCGACATTTGCGGACTGTTTTTGGGAAAAAAATTAAATTTAATTTTCAAAAACAAAAAAAAATATTTAAGTTTATTTTAATATTATTAATTAAAATAAGTTTATTTTATTTCATCCCGACGTACCGAAAATCATTACGTGAGGCCCGAGCACTCCGAGGCCGAAAGCCGAGGAGGACCATTGGCCCGAGCCAAGGCAACGGATTTTCGTAGGCCATAGGCCCGAGATTTGCATCCATCCCACGTTGCATAAGAACAACAACTAAAACAAAAATATTTGGTCCGATGACGGGCAAAGTTGTCCCAATGACTAAGAAAGTCATTTAGACAACCAGTGTACGTATTGAGGAATTTTATTTATTTGCCTATGATATAACATGGCATCCAAAAAATACAACACACTGGCGCGGTCGAGACAATATACAAAAAGTAATCTGTGAACTTTAATTTTTAAAAATGCAAAATTTTATACTAAATAAAATTTGGTTGAATTTTTAATCGCAAGATATTTTTGGCCAATGAATTATCATGGCGTCCAAAAAATAAACAATTGTAACTAATTTGTTCAATTAGTCTGCATAATTCCGCTTTATTTTTAAATAATTCAAATAAAAATTATGTCAAGCAAAATATCTATACTTATCAGTAGTTACATTAAATTTTCCATTCATTATTCAGAAGCATTTAGGAAATTAAGATGCCGTAACTTGCCCACAACCTATCTTACAAATAGAATTAAAATTCTACAAATTAAATACCTTTGATTCAGCTAGAGAGTGATTCTCAAGTAAAGTTGAATAAAACTAGAGATTTTTTTCTTTACATTTCTGCCAATGCTTTGCATTAGCATACAAAAATAAACCATCTTGTTAGACACGCCGGAATAACATGTAATTTCATTAGAACTTTAAGTAATTTATAAATAAAAAATTTGATATTAAGTAAAAGATGTCTCAATTTACAGGGACATTTCTAAGCAAATAAAAAAAAATGTTTAATGTTTGCATTAAAAATTCCGAATTTTTGCCTATGGATTAACATGGCATCCAAAAAATAACAATCTTTTTGAGCTAGGTACACATTTTACATATTTACTTCAACTCTCAATAATTAAAAAATAACAAATTTGATATTAAGTAAAAGATTTTAATTTGCAGGAGCTACATCAAAAACAGTTGAAGGCGTCAATTCAACCGATATCAACACCTGCAACATATCTAAAGCTTCGTCTTCCTTGGCCTCTCTACTTTCCTCGGCTTCCTCTAATTCTGCTAATCATATTCAAAAAACAGGAGATTCTATTTTGATTAATTCGAAAGATACCTCAAATCCCTCACTCCTTCCACCCACTCCAACTACAGCAACGAAGGCAGAAAGTTCAACAGAAAAGAAGGACACCTCTCCCGCTTCTTTGCGTCTTCAAGTTTTTGAACGTCTCTCATTGAATCAATAAAGGACTAAAATACAGCAGGAAAGTTTAAACTACAGTAAGAAAATTTTTTAAAAGTACAGTAAGAAGCTACGGTATTTTTTAAAATTATTTAAAGAAATTCGTTTTCCTCTCCTCAATTTGATATTTTT